CATGAACACTGTCCTCGCCACAGCAGACACATGACACCCATCACAGGCGGCCCACTAGCGCACGTCCGGCTTCGACCCCTCGCTCTCTCTCTCTCTCTCTCTTCTTCTCTCTCTCTCTCTCTCTCTCTCTTCTCTCTCTCTCTCTCTCTCTCTCTCTCTCTCTCTCTCTCTCTCTCTCTCTTCTCTCTCTCTCTCTCTCCCTCTCTCTCTCTCTCTCGTCCAGCCAGCCCTCTCTCGACTAGCCCTTGGCTGGAACCCGGAGACGCGCCTCGGCTTTCCAAGACTCCCTGGCATGTCAGACCACTTCGCACCATCACACCAACCCCTCTTTCTCCATCAGGCACCCTTCACGCCGCCACCACCCATTCTTCCCCTCAGCCGGCGCCACCGACCGCAGGCAGCGCCCGGCCCACCCCGTCATGACTTCAGCACGGCTCCCGGTCTCAGCGTTTCCGGCTGGGAGGCCTAACCTAACCTAACCTTCACCAGCTACGCTCCGCTCCGCCCCGATCTGAGCGTGGCAGGCAGACACCGAGTTTGCTCCAGCATCTGCCTGCCTCACCTGCGCTGGCGCTGCAATCCGAACCTCACAAAGCGCCCGCCCCCCAGCGCCAGCTCCGCCCCCGGCTTCGACACCATCCTGCTGAGCCTGAGCCTCGTCCAGCCACACCACGGTGCTGAAGTTCGCGCCAGGCTACCGCCTCCAGCTCCACCTCCATCGGCAATCACGGTGGCGCGGTACTGAGCCTGGGCCTCCTCCAGCACGGCACTGAGCACCACCACAGCGCCAGGTCCGCCCCAGATCTCAGCGAGACGGCGCTGAATCTCACGCCTCCGGCTCCGGCTCCGGCTCCAGCTCCGCTCCGGGCCGCAGCGCCACCGTGCTGAACTTCAGCGGCATGTCCGTCCGCTCCAGGGTGACGTGCACGCGCGAGAACAGCTCAATCAGCTGACTGCAGGCCGGCTCGGTGTCGGTAGCGCGCCAGACCAGGCGCAGCCGTGGCACGCCGCCCGCCTTCGTGAACTCCAGAGACTCCACGTCCAGCTTCTGCGGAGGGGGCGAAGAGGAGCGCTATATCGGGGCTGCGGAACACATCACGCAAAGCTCAGCTGCTTTCCTACAGTAGGACAAACTAAAACAGCCACGAGAAGCGAGCCGAGCCGTCGAGCGGCGCACTTACGTCGATGTAGACGCGCCGTGAGACGGCCATCTCGGTGATGAACACGTCGAAGCTCTTGTCGAGCACGGCCATGACGACGGCCTGCTGGCGGATAGGGCCGCACAGGTCCACCATGTGCGCCAGGAACAGCAGAGAGCACGCCTCCGAACACAGCCGGGCAGACAGCTTGCGCTCGTTACAGCGCACGCAGATCCTGGCGACGGGGGAGCGCCACGTCACGGCCAGAGCACCACGTCTTGTCACGGCCAGAACACGTCTCGTCACGGCCAGAACACCACGTCTCGTCACGGCCAGAACGCCACGTCCCGTCACGGCCAGAACACCACCTCTCGTCACGGCCAGAGCACCACGTCCCGTCACGGCCAGAACGCCACGTCTTGTCACGGCCAGAACACGTCTCGTCACGGCCAGAACGCCACGTCTTGTCACGGCCAGAACACGTCTCGTCACGGCCAGAACGCCACCACGTCACGGTCAGGTCCGACATGGAGCAGACCGCGCCCGGCGGACGAAATCGGGAGGGGGGGGGGGGGGCGCTCGTGACAAGGCATACACACCCGGAATGTGCCAATACAGGCACGTTTGGAATCGATATTGTGGCCATCACCGCTCGATCTTTCACAGGGAGCATGCGACGTGTGCGCATGTGCTACGGTATGTTGCGGGTGCATGTATCACGCAAATGCTCGGTCAAAACCAACGTCTGCCCATCCGAACGTGGTAGATTTTAGAGGCAAAGACCGACACGAAACAGCAGGGCACCGCAGCGTGCCGCCGCGCCGCCAGCCCTGGAAACCGGCGACGGCGACGGCGACGGCGACGGGGACGGGGGCGGCGGCCGGGGCGGCGCGGCGGCAGGGGCGGGGTTGGCGCCGTCGCCTCACCTCTGCACCAGCGGCGGCGGCAGCGGCGCCGGCCGGTCGTACTGCAGCGCGGCGGCCAGCAGCCGGTGCACGAGCACGTCCGGGTAGCGGCGGATCGGCGACGTGAAGTGCGTGTAGAGCGGCACGCTCAGCGCGTAGTGCCGGTACTGCTCCGGCTGCGTCAGCACACCCCGAACAGAAGTACTCGCGCGGCCTGTCGGTCCGCGCCAGCGGCGTTACTGACCGCAGAGGTACCGCGGCGAAACGGCAAGGGAGACGGGTCGGCCGGGCCGATATAAGGCGCTGGCCGTCGCCAACCGTGCTATCGTCAAAATAGGCATAGCCCACCTGGTCCAGTGTCACAGGCCTATTGAAATCAGCGATCATGCGGCATGCCTCCATCTGAATGATCACACCACTCCGACCGCGTCATATCACTGGCATGGTCCCGCCTCGCAGTGTTGCTTCACGGTCAACGTTCATTGCTGCTTACTGCAGTCGGTACAATGGAAGCCGCATGAAATGGAACACGGCCTGCAGCGACGCCGTGGCCGTCGCTGCACCTCGCAGGACCAGCCATAAACACCAGTCAGTGAGGCTCCCTCCTAGCAACAGCCGCGCCAGCGCTGATCCACAACTACCCCCTAACCCCTGCGGACGGCTCGCTCACGTTCATCGGCTTGCTGAGCAGGTTGACGACGACGGCCATGCGGGATCGTGCCTCGTCCGGGGTCAGCTCCTGCTGCCACCTGGCGGCCATTGCCTGCAGCGAGTCGTGCACGGAGCCGCTCGACGCCACGTCCATCTGTCGGGCGGCGGGAGTGCGGTGGACGGCGGCGGCACTCGCGCTCGCGCAGGCACCAGCCGGCTCCGGACAACCCAGTGGAGAGACGTGGCGAACGAGGAGAGCCACGAGGAATCCGCTATGTCACGATGGACCTCCCCTCCCCAAAGAAATCGGCAAGACAGGCAGCTGCGGTCGCGGCTTCTTCTGAGCTCTCATCATCATCTGTCACCGGACATACGATATAGGCAGGGCATTGGCAAGAAACAAGACACCATGCGAGGACCAATCAAACGCTCGCACTACTCCTGTGGACTCGCTTTTCTCGTACCCAACGGCACCACCGGCGTTTCCGCACCACGCTCCTCGGACGCAGTCCCGTCCCGTCTCCGCTCACCTCGAGCCCCATGCTGCGGAGGAGGCGAGCGGCGTCCGCCAGCGGGCCCTCTTGCGGCGGCGCGTGGCGGCGCAGCACGGCCAGCGACGGGAACGAGCGGAGCACGCGCCGCGCCACCGCCATGTTGGCCAGCAGCATGAACTCCTCGATCAGACTGACGGGACAGGGGACGGTGCGTTAGTGGCGAGCGGCGGCGCCCAGCGGCTGCAGGCGCCGCAGCGCGCTGACCGGCGGGGATCAGGCCGTCGCAGGCTCAGTTATGTGACCGTGTGCGGCGTTCTTCGGTTACAGGCCGACCGTCGGGACAACGAATAGTTTACGGCGCTGGAAATCAAATGCGATCGCCACGCGACAGCAGTGGCGATGGTGACGACGGTAAGGACATTAAGGTGACCGGTCGGTCTGAGCACGGCCACCGAGCGCGGCGCCCACCGTAACGCGCCACCCATCTCCAAACGGCCGACGCGTCCAACAACTCCCACCGGAGATCAGCCGGCGCGCTGTCGGAATCCGCCGCGACCCCTGGTCCCCAGGCCACCTCACCCCACCTCCCGACGAGGACACATACAGCCGTCAGCATGCCTGAGAGGCCCAGCCTCAGCCGCGGCTGGCGTCACTCGGCGACCCCTCCCACGCACCGGTTGCTCTCCTGCTGGTGGTACGTGTAGAAGCCGGTGGGCGCGCCGTTGGGACCGTCCAGCGCGAAGCACAACTTGGGCTGGTCCAGTCGCAGGGCGCCATCGTCGACGCGACGCTGGCGCATGCACCTGGCGGGCGCGGACTCGCGGGTCAGCTGGCTGGCAGAGACGGACCGCGGTTCACACGGGCCGCCGCGGCCGACAGCTGGGCTTGAGCAGGCTAGCTCAACCCGGCGGCCAGCTCAGCGACAACGGGACAGACGGGCCTCAGCAGAACAAAAGTCGTTTCATGACATTGCGGTCAGGCGTTCGACACCGTCCCGCTGGTGCTTTGGCCGCTCCCGCAGTTGGTGAGAGAGACTGCAACACTTACAACACGTGCCCAATGGCACATCCCAAGATTTCACTGCAAACCACGTCACAGCCATCATCACTCAACACTGCGCTGGAAAACCAGCGCGGAAACAAGTGGAAACAGCCAATGTGATACACTTCATAGTCGATTTGATGCTTCCAAACACAAGATTACACATCGCAATCGCGTCAAAGACCTCCTCATCCCGAGTGCCTGGGCCCGGTCCGGCTCTACGCGCCACTCACTGGGCCATGCGGTGGAGCGTGAGCACGCGGTGCCGCACGTCCTCGGCCGTCCAGCGGCCGTCGATCGGCGGCAGCTCCTCGGCCGCCGGCGGCCGCTCCGGCTCGTCGATGATCCTCTGTCGACGGAGAGCGGGAACGGTCAGATCAGCGGGGCGGAGGCGGCCGCCGGGTGGAGACGCCGCGGCCGGCTCGGCTCCGAACCGGTGCGCGGAGCCCCCCCCCCCCCCCCACTCGTGAAGTCACCCCGCCGGTCGGGTGACGTCGCGCGGCTGCGCGGGGTAATCAGGAGACTCGACGCCCGATGGCGCGAGGTCCGATGGGGTTTATCCCCGGACTTTCGGGAACGCATCGATGGGCTTAAGTCCATCTGTCCCACCGGTTTATTTATATCCCTTGAACGGCGGCAGTGTCTGCACGCTTTGGGTCGTCCGTTTGGTGGTTACGACGTCATAAAAATGGCTGCGGATATCCCAGGGTACACAAGCCTGAAATTATCGGTGACACGAGGCTCGTAAGACACTCGACATTCCTAATGATGCCTACACACGCCAGTTACGATCGATCAAGAGATCACGTTTGAGGGACTTTTCGGGATGTCAAGTATGAGCACGCTTGTCTTGGCGGGACGACAAGATCAGCCACATCCTTCCTGCCTCTTAAAGATATACCGAATCTTCCGCCCGCACCGGTTCAGATGATTGAACACCTGAATTTGAAAACGTCGATTTACTTACTCAAGCCAGCCTGCTATTCATTTCGATTTATTCATCCCCTCTTCGCGAACAACCACGGACATTGGTAACGTGCCTCGATCATCAGAAAGGAAATTAACGACACGTCTGCGATTGATCACCCAACACAGCCCAACATCAGCATTCGCGCATAATCAAAGTGGCGGTAAAAACCGTCCAACCCCGACCTCCCGCGGCCTCATCACTCGTGCGCGCCAGTCCTCGCCCCATCCGCCATCTTGTTTGTAGGAATGCTGAACCGTGCTTCGACGCACCCATCATTCCAGGCCATTCTGCCAACAACCTCACACTTTGGATAACCGGATGAACACTAAATGCCTGTGGCACGGACTCGAATCCCAGATTCAAGACGCATCCGTAGCGATGAGCACCACGTTCCACATGAATGCACGTCGCACCGACGTCACGAGCAGGTCCGCACGCATACCGGCTAAACCGCTCACAAGATACAAGCCGTCGGTCAGAGCTATGCTCATGTGTGCTGGTTTCGTAGGGTTCCGAGCGTAAAACGCTGAAACAACCCAAAACGCCTGTAAAGTCATGCGTGAGCAGCTGCGGGCTAACCTGCGCGTGCTCGTACGCCATCTTGGTGCACGAGCGGATGACGGTCCTGCCGAACCACTCGTCGAAGACGCGGCCCTCGCTGTCCAGCGTCCACATGGCGGAGAAGGCCAGCCGGTCCTGCGCCGGGTTCAGCGAACACAAGTCCTCGCAGAGCAGCCTCGGCAACATCGGGATCACCTGGGCACCAGACGAACGTCACCGCTTGACACCCCGCCGACCTCCGCCGACGGGCGACAAACGCCACTGCGTGCATCACCGAGTCAGTGTTCTACGCCCACGAATAAAAGGTGTACAAAAGACACGACTTCAAACTAAAAATTATCCGCAGCAGGTTTGTGGCTGACGGAAAAGAAGAGCCCACAAGCAGTTCAACGAAGCGGACGCCACGGACGGCACCGCGGCCGTCCGAGACGGCGTCTGGGCCGGCCGCCCGCTGCAGCGTCCTCAGGGGCCGCCTCGGCCAGAGCGGCGGCGCGGCGCTCACCTTGTGAACGAGGTAGACCGAGTTGCAGCGCTCGGCGGCCGTCAGGTCGGCCGGCACGCCCTGGCGCAGAAAGTAGCTGACGTCGGCGATGTGCACGCCCACCTCGAACTGGCCCGAGTCGAGCCGGCGGCACGAGACGGCGTCGTCCAGGTCACGCGCCGTCAGCGGGTCGATGGTGAAGACGCACTCGGCCCTGGCGTCAGGCCGGAGCTCGTGTCACACGTGGCGCGGCGCGTCCAGACGAGCCAACCACGGGTCTTGCAGTGTCTCGCACCGCCACCAGGGCACGACGACCCCGACAATGTCGTGATGTATATAACCCGACAATACTCGACAATGTCGTGCGTCGACAGATGTTCTTTGCGGTGATCATTATCACCACAAAGCGCACACAGTGTGACAGATACCACACGGGGCTTGCCTACTTGCCATCACAATACGAGCGCCCTGTCCGGACACGCCCAGTCCGACACTGTGCCTCAGCCCGGCTGGTCAGTCCCAGCCTGCCCGGCGGCGGCCCCGCCCCGGGGCCTCTGCTGACCTAAGGTCGCGACGCCGGGCCACCTCCTCGGCCGGGATGGTCCAGGGCGCCGTCGGCAGGCCCTCCAGGTCCTGCGGCCCGAACTCGCGCGTGTCCACCCCGTGCTCCAGCAGGATAGCCTCCATCTCCACGTCCACGCTGCCCGTCTCGCCCAGCTGACGCGACAGTCGCCTGCAGGTCAGGTCAGGTCAGGCCAGGTCAGGTCAGGTCTGGTCGTATGGCGGGGCACACATGTCATCGCGAACTTCTGTGTCACTTATTCTGACAACGTAGGGATCGGAGCTCGTTACACCGTGGTCGCTGCTGCCACCGTCCGGTTAGAAATCATGCGACCCTGCCACGCGACGAGAAAACTCAGGCAATTCTCGCAATTGGCACACCATTGGTCAAACAATCGGATCACTCCACGTACAATCGGTCCAGCCATCTGACCTGAAGAGCCCAGCGCCCGGCCAACGTACCGGGCGGAGTACCACCCGCCCTTGCCGGCACGTCACCGCACCGCACCCGGTACCCGGCAGTCGGCCGGTCTCTCACCCCTTGGCGTAGCCGGGGTCGGTCCACTCGGTGATCTGGGCCATGAAGAGGGTGCGCGCGTACAGCTGCGGCTGCTGGAAGAAGTCGGCCGGGCAGTCGGCGGCGGCCACCTTGAGGCGCGGCACGCGGTGGTCGCGCGGCGCGAACAGCGCCTGGTGCCGACTGCCGTCCGGAAACTGGCGCAGCTCGCCGACCGCGCAGCGCGGGTGCTTCTTCTCCAGCACGGACACCACCTGGCGGGACGCCCGCGCGCGGATCAGCGGCGCTGCAGCAGGCGGGGGCGGGCGGGGCGCGAAGGCGGAGAGTGCATAAGAGCATAAAGCGAATGTGCGTGGTTCTGTGACGACTCTTGGACCGTCCGCACCAGCGTAGTCGCAGCCGGGACGTGTAGAATGCGTCACGGCATTGCGGCTAATCCAACTCTAGTCGCATTACAGAGCCGATGACGGATGGCAAGCCAATGACCGACGAAGCACGGGCGATAGCAAACCAACGGGTACCTGACGAAGCCAGTTCGGACCGCAGCAGACTCAGGCTCAAACGCTTGAAAAGTTATTCTGACAATAAGAAAGACATGATATATCTATTTTTCCATCTATCTATCTATCTATCTATCTATCTATCTATCTATCTATCTATCTATCTATCTATCTATCTATCTATATATATATATATATATATATATGTATATATATATATATGTATATATATATATATATATATATATATATATATATATACATATATATATCATGCTCTTCTCGAGCTTGAAGAGGCCTCGTTTATAGCAGGCCTGACCAACCCAAACCCAACCCAGGCTTGTCCATTCATGGCGCTGTCCGGGAGCGACGCCAACTCACCTTGGCAGTGCGCTGAACAAAGCGGCCCCACTCGGGGTGTTTGAGCGCCCGCTCCACCGTCACGCCCAGCGAGCCGCCGTCAACGGCCGGCGCTGGCGTCGAGGCGCCGTCCGCCCCCTCCCTCTGTCCTGGCCTCTCCGACTTCTTCGGAGGACGGCCACCGCGCTTCTTCGGAGACCCCTCCGGAGCCGGAGCCGGAGCCGGAGCCGGAGCCGGAGCCGGAGCCGGAGCCATGGTCGGAGCCGGAGCTTCAGCTGAGGTCACCGGCACAGTCTCCAGCGCCGCTGACACGCTGTCGTGTCCCCCCTCCCCCTCCCCATCCCCCGCCGTCGTCTTCTTCTTCTTGGAGGCTCGGCGGCCGCGCCTCTTGGTCCGCCCCGCGGCCGTCTCGTCGGCGGCCGGAGCGGGGGCGCCGAGCGCCGGCGCGTCGCCATTGGCGGGAGCCGGGACGCTGCCGGCAAGTTCACCCACGCCGCCGACAGGTCCGCCGGTCACCCCACTCTCACACAGTTCGGCCGCGTTGTCATTGTTCTCACTCGCGCCATCGCAGCTCTCGGCTGGCACTGTTAGGGCGGCGGGGCGCGGCCCGCCGCCGTCGGCTCCGGCCGCCGGGCCGCCGTCGGCTCGCGGCGGGCCGGGAGCCGCGTTAGTCGCGCCACTACAGCTACGTTTGGCACGCGTCTCGGCCTGGTCCGTGCGCTCGTCACCCGTCCCACCGTCCGCCAGACTCAGGTCGGCCAGCAGGTCGGCCGGCGGCGCCGGCGGCGCGGCGCTGGTCGCCGCTTTCGCCAGCCGAGCCGCCACCGACTCGGCGGGCGGCCGACCGCCCCTCCTGCGCGGCGCGCCGGCCGGCTCGGTCGGCGTCACCGCCTGCGCGAGCGCGTCGCCCGACTCGGCGCCGCCGTGCGGCGCGCGGCGGCCAGCCGCCGGCGCCGACGCGTCCGCCGGCGGGGCGTCGTCGCCCGGCAGTGAGGTCTCCTTTGCCCGGGCCGGGCCGTCGCTGTGCGCCGCGGGGTCGTGCGGCGGTGCGGCGGCCTCGCCCGGCGCCAAGAGCAGCCTCAGGGGACGCGGAAATCGGTCGGGCAGAATCGCATCCAGGAGGACGGCGTTTTTCTGCAGGTTCGCGTCGGTTTCGTACAGAATTTCGAGGTCGCTAAGTGTGCCATTTGAGATGAGATAGGTGACGAGCGCATTCTCCAGAACCTGCCAGGGACACGTGAGTTACTGGAACGTTACATCAGCCAGATACAGAATGAGCGTGCCCAGGACGCTTCCACAGTGACGTTTTCCACGCCATGTAATTCGTGCGAGAGCTTCGAACCCCAATTGATTTCACATAACGTTCAATTCCTGACATCACACGCACGCACGCACGCACGCACGCACGCACGCACGCACGCACACACACACACACACACACACACACACACACACACACACACACACACACACACACACACACACACACACACACACACACACCACACACACACACACACACACACACACACACACACACACACACATATATATATATATATATATATATACACATACACACACAGGCAAATTGTAATCAGCGCCATACAACAGAAACACGCGACAAACAACGGCACGCCGCTGGCACGTGTGACCTGCCGGGCGGGTTGCACGCCAGACAGGTCCTGCCTTCCAGCGCTAGGAGCGCCGGCCGTGGCAGGGTGGCGTGGGGGGGGGGGGGGGGCAGCACTCACCTTCCACTCATGCTGGGGCCGCAGCTCGACGGCCACCACATCGCCGTGCAGCGCACGGTTGCGATCACGCACTCCCCCAACGTAGATGTCCGTCAGCCCGTCCTGCCGCGCAGCCACCACGGCCGCCGGTTAGTCGTGCCGCACCGCGGTCAATGGGCGGCTCGGGGAAGGTGCTGGCTCGACGTCAAGGCGTGACGGGTGACAGAGCTCGCCCGGGCTTACGGTTGTGCGAGCGACGAGCGCACGTCCGAGTCATTACACCGGTCCGTAACGGATTCACGCAGAGCTGACAAACCAGCCCAGCACTGCGGGCCTCCGACGCAGAAACATGGCAGCCAACAGCGGAGGCACCGCGGCCAGAGCACATATCCATACACCATCTGCGGCATGGGACGGATCTCAGCGGGCGGCCCGGCTCGGCAGCGGCCGGCGGTGCTGGGCCTGCGCGGTCAGCGGTGCGGTCAGTAAGGCGGGCCGTGAGTGTGCGCCGGGGACCACCCGGCCGCCGGACGGCCGCCGCCCGCCTCGGCCCGAGCGCCACCTCCGGCGCGGAGACGGCAGGGGCGCGGCGCTCGGGGCGGCGGCCGCTCAGAGCTGGCGAGCGCCCCTGGGCGGCCGGGGCGCGGCTCACAGGCGGCACGTCGGCCGTCCGGCGCGCCGGGCGCCGACCCCATCCTCTCACTACACTACTATCGAGTGCGCGCCGCCGGCCGGGCGGCGGTCGCGAGGCACGCGCGGGCCGGCTCGTGGTCAGCTAACCGCCGCCGGCGGGTGACCTGACCTGACCTGACGCGCTCGGCGCCCGCGCCAGCGGGCCGACCCGGCGCCGTCACGGCCCGGGACCGTCGCCTCAGCCGGCGGCGCGCAGCCTCTTAGTGTGGTTAGTAAGCGGACAGAGGACGGAAATGAAATAATACCAATATATACCAAGATTTACCGGAGCGCTGATATATGCATCTTTGTAGCTCTTCGCGTTAATCCGGAGGACACCCTGAAACGCAGACAGCGGGGTTACTGCAGTCTCCCGGAGCGACGCCGAGCAAGCCGCCAGCGTTACAGCACATAAAGAATGTTGGCGACAGCGGTCGGCATGACGGGTACCAGCGGCTGCAGCATGTTGTCCTACACCTCGTACGCCGTATCCATTGACGCACGTCTTATGTCGAACTAACCACGTGAGGTAACATGCCTCCGATTGTTCACATTCTCAGTTAGATCACGCAGCAAAGGCGCTGACACGCTCAGATAGAAAGCTAGACCCCAATATTCTAAAAGGTGCCTTGTGGTGTACGAGAAAGAGGGCGCTAACACGAGCGTAAAACAGCTCTCCCTGTTGGTCCTTGCTGGTTTTGATGCTTGGTTCCCCTTTATAGTGCCCGGTGCATCAACACACCAGAAATCGGGCCCGGGAACTTCGCCTGATGCAACAACAGTCTACTACGGCACTGCAGCTACACTAATACTTCTCCTAGGGACTGCGACAACGGCAGCAATCTGGACGTCCTGATCCGATAACACAGAGCCCCAGGATTGAGATCCGGCCAAACAAGGAACACGACTGAAGGGGGCGTGGTTTGGAGCTCAACACACACCGCCAAGCGCCCCTCTAATTCCTATGCTTGTAATTCACATGCAATATGATCAAACAACCAAGCCGCCAGCCAACGAGGCAGCCTTTCATCTGATTGAAATATGACCACCGCGGGCTTGTGTTTAATAATGGAGTGCTTTCAGTCATGTGACTGGCTCTTGTCGGCGGATGCTCTTCAGTAGTTGGCCTGTTAACCTCGACACTGAGTGATCTGATGACGTCTAGAGTCTCTGAGAAGGTCCGGCTGGTGAGAGTTTACCGCGAAGACATTCAGAACTCCACGACCCAGCGACGAGCATCGTGCGAATCATGACCAATTGGCGACGATCATGGCCGTCCCGCCTTGCAAGTGTGGGAAGCCCTTGCAACCCCATCACCCCGCCATCATGCGACGCCAAAAACACCCCACTCAAATCGCGAGCATGCCACCGACGCCGCAGCCGGCACCGCCTTCACAAAAAGCGCCTCGCGCAAGCATCCCATTACACGAGGCCGTTAACCGCTTGGCGGGCGGGCCATGCAAGCAGCCCACGGCCGGGTGGGCGGCCGACGGGCGACACAGTGTCACGGTGCATAAACAGCGCGCCACTATATCAGCCGGTGGCCGTGACCGGCCCCGCCCAGAGGTCAGTCTGCTCGGGCGGCGGGGGGGGGGGGGGGCAGAGGGTGCGGCCGCCGGCACCGCTCACCCGTCAGGTTTCACTCGGCGCAGCGAAAGCATGAATAACGTAACAGAACGCAAGTGGACGCCGCCGCGCCGGGGATCGCGCGGCGAGCGAGGCCGCCGGTATTATCCGGTGATAACGCGTGGTTAATCGGCGACAGCGCGGTAAACGCCGGGTCCGGGGAAAAGGCGCCCCTTTGCCCGATGTTTCGTCACGATGACTGGAAGAGGCGCGGGGCTACGCTACACGAGAACAACATGCTTTCAAGTTTTGACGCGAGAATCCTATGATAATGAAACAGCCCATTTTCCTCCTTTCCGAGCTTACATCATCAAACGGCGCGTAGTGTGTAAGAACACTACGAGACGTTTCGTTAAAAGATGAAAAGATAACAGTGCATTACGTGGCCGAACCAAAACCCTTCAGACCCCAACTCACCTCCACCAGCTGCCCTTTCTTCAGCCCCTGCTGGACGTCGAAGATCGTGGCGTATTCCTCAAACGTCCTCTGATTCTCCCTTTGCGGCGTGCCGTGGAGCCACTGCGGCGTGGCCTGGCGCGAGTGCGGCGTGCCGTGACGCGGCTGCGGCGTAGACTGGCGCGACTGCGGCGTGCCCTGGCGCGACTGCGGCGTGCCCTGGCGCGACTGCGGCGTTCCCTGGCGCGACCGCGAGTTGGTCTGACGCTGTCTGCTGGCGCTTCCACTGGCCGAGCGCGAGTTTATCGACTCCAGGCTCTCACTGAAACAGGCAGCGGACGTCAGTCAGCAACAAGGCCTGGCCAGTGCAGATGACGTCATCGGACGAGCTGCGCCCGGACCGGTCCCCACTCGCATCTTAATTTCCGTCACGTGCTGGCGTTTAACGTCACGCGCTGCTGATTAACAGCTATTGGGAACGGCTAAGCGAACACGGGTGCCCAAGAAACAAAGCACTTGTCGCGAAAGAGGATTAGTGTAATCCGATTGGACCATTGTCCACGGAAACATGACCAAAACAGGCTTAACGTCGGAAACGATAGTCTCGCTGTCGACCATATGATCGCGACGGAATACGCGACATCAGAGCCGGCATACTGACTGATCCGGCCTCTGTTGACGCCGTGACGGCCAGCAGAAAAGAAGCGTGTCGCCAAACGACCCGATCGCAACCAAACAAACCATGGGAGAATCATTCCATGCGGCTAGCACTGTCCCATACGGCTCGCATCGAAGCCATTTCCATTCGCGATCATCCATTACACTGGAGGCATTCGCGGGCGCCGTATCGCCCGTTCAATGAATGACGACGTGGCCTCGCAGGGCCGCTGGGTGTGAAACCTCGAGATATTCAGCCGCGGCCGTCTTAACGAGCCGTGTCAGTCGTCGGACAGCTATATCTCCGCCGTAAAACTCGAACGACGGCCATCAGCCTGCGAACGAGCCCGGCCGCCGCCCCTTCAGTCAGGCAAGCACCAGTGCTTTCCACACGTCCCACCGTCCAAACAGCGCCCGGTGCCGTCCGATGACGAGGAGAAACTCTCCGTTCGCCCCTCGACCCCGTCCCGACCTCCTGTCTTGTTTGGGGGAGCGGCGCCGACTGTCGGCGGCCACCTCCGCTGGGCGGCGGACGCGGACGTCGAGCAGCCGGCGGAGAAACGCCGTCAGCATCGATCAGGGCCAGTTTCGCCGCGTCAGACGGCACCGGGGGCTGGCGACTCGAGCGGACGTGGCCTTGAGGGGAGCGACTGATGGATACGGCGGATGAAGAAGCGACGAGTTAGCGTTCGCCCGGCACCCGGCACAACCCAGCTGTTGTCTCCTTATTTGAAGACGTAACCTCTCTGAGATCCCCGTCTTGCTGATTGTTTGACGGTATTCACGGGCGTTGAATAAGCATCGGTGTCATCGCGTCTCCCAGAACCAAGTGATCCTCCTCACCGGTAAGACGGCGACACGTCCACGGCCTCATTCCAGGGGCACGGGCCGTCCACGCGGCACCAATCGAGGAGCCGGCGAGCGTCAGCAGCCGTGGCGTCGCCAGTGAATGTGTGTTATCACGGGCAGCAGTCCAGTGTCAAGAGCTGACCGCTGACAACTACACCAGTCCCCCACAGCACCACCGCGGAACTCTAGCAGCCCACTCAGCAGAGCACACGCCATCCCCAACGCCGGCGGCTGGCAGAGGCGCGCCGCCGCCCCGCCGCGCCGCCCGCTCCCGCGCGGTTTATCTCCGACGGAGGCGCGCCAAATACGCACGACCGGGGGCGTGCCCGGCCCGCGGTGACGCGGCACCCACCCAGGGCTCGACCGGCACCGCGGGGACGCGCGGCGGGGCCCGGCTGCCGCCGCAGGGCCTCACCGACACGACAAGCAGCGCACACGGGTCGCATGCGGGCGGCCGCGACGGGGGTCGCGCGTTGCGGCGGGCAGGGGCGGTGCCGCGGCGCCGCGGCCGGAAACGTCACCGCTGCAGATCCCGCGCGGCCGTCCAATGAAAGGCTCGGACTCGGGGCGTGTCAACAGTGATCAACATTCGGAGAGGCGTTTGAGTGCTGTCCTGAGGTGTTCCGAGGTTTTGTTGGAGGTACAGACATTGGGTGCTGCCGAAGTGATGCCATTCCATAAAATGTGTAACGCTTTTCATCACCGACCATTGCAATGTCTGCATTTTGCAACGCCTTCTCACGACCACCCGGAAAACGACATTTCTGGGCAAGAAAGGCGTTTATAGCACGCTCCTTTCAACCCACTAATGTGCGCTTACATGCAATCCATCAGCGGGACAAGATGAGCAGAACGTTTTGACGCTGCCCACGGCCGCGATGTCACCGCTGAAGACTTCCCGTCCGGTACCCCACACATACGGACGTGCTTCATCATTGCTGACCAACTAACGCTGTCGATGGCTCGCTGCGAGAGCCGGGTCGCCATGAGAGCAGCCCGGCCCACAAACGCCCCACGACAAGGCCTCGGCCGGCCTGCGGACTCCAATCACCCCGCCGGACGCGACCGCACCGCCGAACGCCAAGCGACCTCCAGCCAGACGACACCGCAGACGCTAATGGCCCCACGCCGCGGCTGATGGGCGGATTAGCGCATTAAGCCACGCTCCACGTTGTGGCGCTACCGGCGGGCGCGTCACATCGCCGCCCCCGCGCTGAGACGGCGGGCCACCCACGGTGTCCGAGCCGGGCACGCACCCCAGGGGAGCCGCCACCACTCCCCGACCACCGGTGGCTACACCTTTGATGGACAGCAGCCAGATGCGCTGCGTGCAGGGGGTAGTCAAAAGCTATCGGAGCCAGTAACTGAATGCTGAGAGCAGTCACTTTCAACCATTAGTGTAACCGCGACTCTGCCTGAGATTGCAGGGGCAAATCAGGATTGGAGGGGTAAAGCCAAAAAGTGTGGAGACGTGACGTGAAAATAATAACAAATTGGAATGCAAAAACGTGAAAACTTCGTTCTATTGGCAAAATTCGAAAGCATTAAGATCTCGCTTTGGGAAAGTTGAGGACAGGTGTCCCAGTCCCTTTCTACAGTGGTTACACCCATGCTTTCAGCATTTCATACCTTACAAAACAATTACAAGACACTTACACAAGACACAAGACACTTGCAAGGCGTACAAGAATACGTTCCAATTGGGCAGCGACTCGACTTAATCGCGGCTCACATAGTCACAGCTCCACGACCTGATCATGTTGGTCTTCTTCCACGCTGTCTATATGTTCCGATGCCTCCCTATCTACACATGTATCTCAGGGACGTTCCCTTTCCTCCCCGGCTACCTTGAGACGTCGCTAGGCCAGGGAAGCCGCGGCAGGTGCCCCATTGACACCCGTCCCGCCTGACAGCCACCGCCGTATGGGACCGGTCCTCCGCACTCCGCGAACGGCGCGCCGTCCGCCCGCGTGGGAGGCCAGCCCCTTCAGGCGGCGTGACAGCGTCAGCCGGCTAGTCACGTGGGCTGACGGGGCGCCATCATTCGCGGAACGCAGCCTCAGCAGCTTCTGCACACGACAAAGCGCCGCGGCCGGCACCCCGTCGCACGCTTCAGTGTACCAGCGTCAACTCAGGACTTCCTCGTCACCGATCCGGCGAACGGCATGTTGCATTTCAACAGACGCCAAGAAAGGTGTGGCAAGGCCATAACGTCAGGTCTGGCTGATGAACAACAGTCGCGTGCGGTTCCTTGAGCTCACTGTCAATAGTTCTGCTCTCCCCCAACCCCCACCCGCTCCCGCTTCCACTAAATGCTCCTGAGGGGTGTCCACTTTTCCTGCCGCATCACCCACGGCGACTTCAAAGCCTCAACCAGCCACCGACTGAGCGTTTGCGCTTTGCCCGACGCCGTGTGAAGAGCAGCCGCGCAATGTCCTCAAGAGCCACCGACCACACTTGACGGCAGCTGCCGACGAGGCGTCGGCGAGTGCACGTCCCGGCAACCTGCCTCGGTGCTCTCCTGCTGACGCTGTGTGAAGAGCAGCCGCGTAATGTCCTCAAGAGCCAACGACCACACTTGACGCTAGCTGCCCACGAGACGTCGGCGAGTGCCTCGGTAAGTCCCAGCAGCCTGCCTCGGTGCCGTCCCGCCACTCTCGCGAGGTTCCCCCGGGGCGGGCGAGGACACCAGCAACACCCGCGGGCCGCGGCCGGCGCCGCTCCGACGCCGTCTCCTCCCGGGCGCCAGTCACACGCTCGTAACCATCGGCGTGACGCCACGTGACGCGGCGAGTCGCCGGCGCCGGGCGTCACGCGGTCCCGGCGGGGCGGAGGCGGCGGAAATAGAAGGGGGAAGCGGATGGTCACGGGACGTAAACGGCGGCACGAGTCGCTCAGGCCGCCTCCACGCCGGACCGACGGCGGCAATCGCCGCCGAGCGAGCGGGGCCACATCGTCAGCCAGCCCGACACCTCGCGTCGCGCGAGCGCCGGCCGTAGCGCGGCCGCGCGGCCGGGCTCGGTAGCGCTCACGCGTCCCGCCGCCGCCGTCGCCGCCGCCGCGTGAGACCGCCCTCGGCAGCCGATGCGATCGGGTGCTAATGGCGGCACCGGCCTTGGCGCATTTGCATCTGTCAAAGGAGACACGGGAGAAGGCGCGAAGAAGAAGGCCGACACGTGCGAGCGACTCCAGTCGCGCCCATTGAGAAACCGGTGGCGGAGGCGGCGCGGTCGCGTCACGCGCCCCGCGCCGTCCGCCCCAGCGGCGGCAGCGGCGCAGCGTCACCGCTGGGCGCCCCCTGCGTCGCCGACGGCCAGCCGTCGAACCATGCGCCAACGAGCGGCGGCGGCGGCGGCGGCGAAGGTCACCAAGTCGGTCGCGGTGGACGCGACCGAGGCGCCGCCGCCGCCGGCGAAGATCCACCGGGCCACCGCCCGCGGCATTCATCCACGGCGGCGTGCGGAGCGCGCTCGGCGGCTCACTGCTGGCCGGCGCCGCTCGGGCCCGATAGGGCGACGCGCCGGGCGCGCCTTCAGGGAACTGGCAGCGCGGCACGAGCCACCGCTGACGGCATTAGTCTCAGACGTGTCCGGCGCTCCGAGGGTGCGGAGCAGTGATGGGACGTTTTGTTGAAGGCACCGAGACAGCAGGGCGAAAGATCGGCGCGTGATAGCGGCGAGCTGTGCGCTGATTGGTTCCGAGGACCTCGTCCGCTTTCATCTGGGCGTTCCTGCAGCTTTGATATGCCCGAGAGTGCTCGGCGTTCCAGATTCTCGGCACGTACCATGCGCAGCACCCCAGGAAGGCGCAATCGGTGCCGCGGGCCCCTGACTAGCCGAAATTGCCTCCTAGGGGCTGCCCCAATCCGACGCGCCGTTCATATTCTGCGCAGCTGATTGCGGCGTGGGAGGTCCCGGATCTAATATTTCCAGTCGTTACCATCAACATTTAGGCCATCCAGCGCGGGCCTGAGGCGATAGCCGAGAGTGTGACGGCCATTCCGATGTTACCGCGGTCTATCTGCATAAACACTATGCACAACATGCATGAACATCGGCCGCCCACCATGGCCCTGCCCTATCCTGCGAGCTTAGCGGACGGGGCGTACGGCACACCTTTCCGGCCCACGTCCGCACCCACTGCCCACACGGCCACCGAAGCGCGCGCGCCGCCCACCCTCACCGGCCACAGAGCCACGTCAGCCGTCAAGCCCGGCGACGACCCCCTTCGAACGCGACGGCCGGTCACTCGGCGCACGCACCTGGGCTTGACCTCCATGTTGCTGTGATTGGTGAAGACACGCGCATCACCGGCGATGCGGCCGCGGTGCCAGCAGACGGAGCCGGAGCCGGAGCCGAGCGAGCCGTCCGAGCCGGCACTCTGCGGGCTCGGCAGGCTCTGGAAGCCCGACGAGTCGCTGCGCGACGGAGACGGCCGGCTGCGGGCGCTCGAGCCGACGCTGCGGGGAGTCACCGACAGCGGGCTGTGGGCAGGGGCAGCGCGGACGCTCAGAACAGACAACGAGGGGCGTCACTGACAGCAGGCTGTGGGCGGGTCAGGTCAGGCCAGGCCAGGTCAGGTCAGGTCAGGTCAGGGCAGGTCAGGGCAGGGCAGGGCAGGGCAGGGCAGGGCAGGGCAGGGCAGGGCAGGGCAGGGCAGGGCAGACGGCCAAAGCCGACACTGTGCGGCGTCTCCGACAGCGGGCTGTGAGCAGCGGCAGAGCAGGGCAGGTTATACGGGTCAGAGCCGACACTGGAAGCTGCCGACAGAAGACTGGGACGGTGGGGAGGGAAGGGAATAGATGTGCTGATTGGATTGCAAATTGTTTGAATGCAAAAATTACCACGCCCAATTTGGCGATTAGACGGAGAGGGGCAAACAACTTTGGATTTTTTTCGACAGCCGGTATCATTATGTTGTCACAAATTGGCATGCATCTCGCATATCTAATGCCGCTCGCTTTCAAACTATTTTGATTCTGGAACATAAACAAGTTATTGATGGGGCACACTATAAAATACTTATGCTTAGACCAGGTCCTAGATCTAGATCTATTTCTACACCAGGTCCCAACCAGCAGCGTGGAGTGCCGACAACGGCAGCCACGGAGTTCAGTTCGGCCAATAACGCGGACAGCGGCCCACAGCGGACTGCCAGGAGCGCACACCGAACGGCGATGTAATAAATATGAAATGAAAATGAAATAAGCAGGAAGGCCTTGAGATCCTGGTTTTTCGGCATGAGTTCAAAGTTTTCTGTTGGCAGCTGTCGCCTTTTAATACACCGGTGGGTACTAGTTAAATGGCGCTATCAAGAAAAAATTGGCTCATAGTTGCGAATGAACAAATTTAATCAAAAACGAGCGCTTCAAGGGCCAGATGAAGCCAGATCAGGCCATGCGGACGTCCAGGGGTGCTCTCTCGACACGGCGCTGTTCGACCGTAACAGAGGGAAACCAGGTTGCAAGAGGACGACGTCATTGTGGTGAATGCGGAGCCAATGTGCAGGGGCACCGCCCTTGAGTCAACGTTGACAAAACGGTACGGAGTGTCCACCTGCACCGTTGCATCAGCCGGCGCCTTCTCGGGCACAGGAGTCGTTGTGTTTTCTCCGGCCAAGAGTAGTCGGAACGGAGGCGAGCGAGTAAATAAGTGGCACTCAAGTCCGTGTTTCAGCTGTCGTTTGTTCTACTATGTCAGCACGCCGGCAAAGGCTGGATGATTCTGCCACATACTGAGGCTGAAGTGACTGCAGTTTATCCCCTTAGCCCGAAATATGCGGACTTGAGTTCATGAAACAAACAATTCATTCCTTTGCCCGCTTAAACGTACTTGTATAAATACTGAGTCAGTTGTGACGTGATTTCGCACAACTTTGCGCGCGTCAGTGAGCATGTTTCTCACCAGTTGACTCAATCCAAGAGCAAGGGATCCATGATGCTGTCAGTTTCGTTCGTAAGCTTCACTTAACTTGCTTACAATGTGGCCTACTCCGTGTTTATCCGTTGTAACTTGCAACTATGCTATGTTGCCATACTAGCACACGCTTTAACAGGCGCGGGTTTCCCGAACACACTACAAAACAACAGCGACCGAGAAGGGCGATTGCACCACATGGCTGACATCGACACAAATTGCCTCCCACAGAAATGAAACGAGTCACATGACGCATACCTGATGGATACGTGCTTCTCGGGTGTTTTGCGAGCCGTGGAGATGCTCAGAGGCTTCAGGCACTTCTTGCGCGGTTCAGGCTCCTCAGAGACCCTATTGGCCGAAGCGAGGTTCAAGGTCAACGCCTGCAAACCTATCAGTGCCGCGTGATCCTCGATGTCCTCGAAGTCGGTCTTCAGGGACCGGGGCGATGGCCCCTCGTTGACGTGGATGAACGACGCACAAGACTGCGGAAGAGAGGACAGACGCGTAAAATATTTTGTCAGATGACTAGGGATAGACCACAAGCCATGCGCTGACAGTCAATGGACGTGGGGTCATCCGAAGCACAGCGATCTTGGATATCGCCGCAAATTCAAGTCTGTCAACGAATAATAGTTAAAAATGTGCATTGTTGCAAACCCACCAGTCATCCCTGTGGTACCCAAAGCACAAGGGACACCGCAGTCAGACGCTGCATGTCTCTGAATGTCACGCACGTGACAAGAAGGTCCATGAACGTGCGGTAAAATAAACTGAATGCCAGTACCGCAAATGAATTGAACAAGCAGAGGCGATTGCTCAGAGGGCGAGGCGGGTATAGCCCGCAAGGGCAGGCAGGCAGGCCGGCGGAAATTAGGCTGAGCACGACTTGGCGCCGACCAAACACTCAATTTCCGTTCAGCGAGGGCACCGCCCTCGCGTCCTATGCAGTCGCGATGAGACGGCTAAACAGCCGCCGCGCAAAACCGCTCCCCGGGAGGATGTGCGAAATTAACAGCAATTTATGCGACGCGCAAGAAGTCGACGCCTCGACAGATGACAACAAACGGTCGTAAACGAGGCGACAGGGTGCCAAGCCCCGCGACCCGGCTCGTTTCCATCCCACGAGGCGAGCTTGCGCGCCCCGCCCCGAAGGTCCGTCACGCGAGCGTCACACTCCGCTGCGCCCGGACAAGCCGCCGGCCGCATTGTGCTGTCCGCCGACGCCGCCGCCGCGACAAAAGCAGGAAACAGTAAAGGACCCTGCAGCAGACACCCGATCGTGTTGCACCCGAGGCACCGGCGGTACCCCGTTCCGCCTCGGCGCGTGCTCGTGCCGGCCCTGACGATGCGGCTCTTCTCCGCAGTTGGCGGCGCCCACGCGGAGCGGGGAGCGCGTCAAGGAGCCCCCGCCGCGTGTCGTATGCAGCTCCCAGGTCGAGCTCGGCAGCCCGGTCACGTCTTTGAGGGCAGCGCTGTTGGCTGGGTGCGGCATATGAAGCCGTTTCGCGCCGCCCACGCCGGCCGGTCAGGCATCGATCACAGGACGGGCACTGCTGTTGGTCACGCGCTGCCCGCTGTTACGCCCACCGACGCTCGTGGGGTGAGCCCGGATGCTGAGTTATGCGCCACACCGGCAACGCCTCGACCGCTCAATGAAGCCGACAACTGAGAACAAATAACACTGCAGAATGACTTCCAACGGCACTCTTCACGAGCCGATAAGACCAAAGCTGGCATGGTACATAGCCAGGATATCGCAACAAATCCCCGTGTTCTTGGGGACTTTCTAAGCCCGTTGGTGAGGTATCACTGGTGACTTTGGCGCAGCGGGTGAGCACGACCACCCCAGTTCCAAACCGGGACCCTACGACAGCGACGATGACGCCACATGGGAAACGGCGCGGTGGTCACACGTGACCGCGCGGTCAGCACTGCCACGGCCGCTTTCCTTCCTGCAGCGGGTCGGCGTGCTGTTACATGACAACACGCACTGCGACCTGCAACCGCAGCCCGCCGCCGACCGGCGCCTTCGCGGCGACGGAGCCGGCTCGACCGCGGCGCCGGTCGCCGCGCAGCGCCCGGCGCTGAACTGACCCCGAGGTTTTCACCTCTGCCCAACCAGCGGTGGTTACGGCCACAGCCGGGGGAGGCACCAACGGCCCGTACCGCGGGGCCACCGCTCGCCCAGCGCAGGAGACGGCGACGCCGCTCTGTAGTTTGCGAGTCTGAAGTGGCGGCGCGGCCCGCCGGCTGGGCGGCCGCTGGTGTCACTTTTTGCCGAGTGCGTGGGCCGACGGCGCGCGCGCGCGCGCTTATTCATGAGCGGACACCGGTGGTTGCCCAGCGGGGAACCGTCAGTCCAGCACCGAACCCGGCATATTTTTGTGCGGAACATTAACGTGAGAACGTAGTCGCCGGCGCGGCGCGTATAAACACGCGGCTGCGGCCGAGCGCTGCGCGTGCACGCGGGAATATTAGCTCCCGAAAACGGGCTCGCGACGTGTCACCAAATAATCGCGAGTCACAGCGGCGACGGCGGACGGCCGGGGCGGCGGGACAGCGGATGGCGGACGGCGGACGGCCGGGGCGGCGGGACAGCGGACAGCGGACGGCGGACGGCGGACGGCGGGCGGCGGGCGGCGGACTACGGACAGCAGCGGGCGGCGGCGGCGGCGACGGCGGCGTGACCTCCTGTCGGCGGCGTCCAGCGGCGAGGCGGCACTGGGAACACGCGCCAGACAGCGGCGGCCGCCGTCCGCGTGACCGCGCCGCCCCCGTCCGTCACAGCGCCGGCGCCGTGATGTGACGCGGCCCGCTCACGCCGGGAGGCCAGCCGATCCGGGGCCGCGCCGGTCCGGGTCGGCGCCGAGCCGCCGGCCGGCAGGGGGCGGGCGGCGCGGCCGCTCTGCACCACCGCATCGCGGCTGATCGGGCGTAGTTCACGGACGGAGACAAATGGTGCGGCGCTGCGCTGAATCTCGCCGCGGACACTCGCCAGCGCATCGCCATGGCAACGGTATAGTCGATGAGTACGCACAAGTGGAGGCCGGCCGGCGAGAGCCCCGACGAGCCGCAGGTGGCAGCACATGTAAATGCTGCCAGCGGGATGTCGGACTCGGACGGTCGTGCGACTCCGGGGGCCGCGAGTACACGGGTGACGACAGTTCATTCTGTGAACTGCCGCCTGTCGTGCGGTGCATTGCATAATGTAAAATATATGCAAGGCAGGAGCGAGAGAGGCCTGGTTCCCGCGAGTGAGGCTACACCATGCGGAAGTGTTGACACGGACAGCCCGGTCAATGAAGCGAAACGCCGGGCGATGACATGCTGTTTACTTGCGTCTGTCGCGTCACCATCAGCGCATCGATGAAGTGGCTGATGGCGCCCGCAGCGCCAACACACTGTACGCGAAGAGCGAGTTAAACCAAGCGGCAAGTGACAACCACGCGTTAAAATGAACACGGTAATGACATTGAGAAAATGACGCCATTGGACGGCGATGGCGATCACAATGTCGGGTCACGGCATGTTGTCTTTTATGACGGAATCACTGCTCCTATCCGCCCGCTACTGCGCACAAGCCCACCAATCCAGGTCACCTGAGCCTTAGTCACCATCGGTATGCCGCCTCCCCTGACGTCGCTGTCATGCGGAGCCGTCTGGTGTCACCTGCACGGCCCAGCTGCCGTCAGCGCGCGACACATCGGGTGTCCGGCGCGCTCGCCGCAAAGGTCCGGGGCGCGTTTTCAGATTCCGCCGCCAGGCGACGGGCCGGAGCCGAACGCGGCGGTCCAGGGCGCCGCCGCCGTCGGCCGAGAGCACGGGCCGCCCGAGATGGCTACAAACGTCACAACAGCCGCGGAACAGACAGCGGCGCCGCTGTTTGTGGCCGCCGCCGCCGCCAATGCGCTAACGAGCCCGACCGATCACTGCGGCCGTTAGTCGTGACTGGGAGCGGCAGGATGCGGCGCCAGTGCAAGCTGCAGACCTCATCCGCACAGCCGCCGATCGCCGTCGCCTCGACTTCGGGGCAGCGTCCGCCGCAGTAACGGGGCGTTCGCAGCGAGCGTTCCTCCGCCCGCTGCAGGCCGAGAATGCGGACCTGACCGAGCGCTGGCGCGCAGGGCGGACGGGTGATGACCGGTCCCGGTCCGCGCAGACTACGCTCGCCGTCATTCCATGGCCGCACCTTCCGCCTGCCATCACACCAACGCGGACTATGCAAATCAACGCCAGGTGGGTAAGGGGGGGGGGGGGAGACTCTGCAGCGGAGTCCCATGCAGGCTGGCCGCTCCCCAGACGCCGGGGCGCCGCCGGGCCCGCGGCTGGAGCCGCTCGGGCCTCCTCCGCGGCGCCGAGCGCAACCGGATGTGCCGCGCACAGCCCCCGCGGCCACGGACAACATCCCACGGCCGCCGACAACAGCCGCCGCCGGCCGCGCGACCACGGACAACACCGCACGCACGGCGGCGCGGCACGTCAGCGTCGTCAGCCGCACTCGCCGCGTGACCGGGGAGGGGGAGGAGGGGAAGCGTTCTGCCGGGGCGGCCGCGCAGTGCCCGGCGACCGCCGGCGGCACCGGAGGCGGTGCGCGTTGTCACGCGCTGCCAGATTCAAGAGCAAGGTCGGCGCGGCCTCGGCGAGCGGCCGCTGACGTCAGCCCGCCGGAGACGGACGGTCTGTCGCGGCGCCCATTCATTACGGACGCATTGTGCCGGCGCCCGCACGCCATCTGCCGTCCCGCCTGCAGACACGGTCAACAGGGCCGTGTTTGTGGCCGACGGTGGCGGCGGGGGCGCCGGACGCCGCTCCGCCGACGACAGCGGCGGCCCGCAGATCGCCGCTCGGCAGAGGTCACCCTCGGTGTAGGGCTCGTGGTGCGTGGGTGACGAGGTACTTGCAACATAAAGCACGGCCATTGAAAGACCGTGCTGCAGTCGGGTAGCACTGGAGGGGCACCAGGCATGCCGGATGCATAGCATGGTGTTCAGATCAATGCATGTCCACTGCTTCTCTACGTCGTAAACAAGTTGTTAGGTCTTCTTCATCTCTCAAACCATCCTCCTTCCATGACTGAAGGATTTTGCAACTGAACGCTCTAATTTCATAGCCCGGCTAAAGCCGTTATGAGCCTGCGGAACCGTATAGCTGCCGCCTGGGCTCTCTCGGAGCAGTTCATCCACATGGTCGCCCGACCCAACTGCCGATGCGCCCGAGGATTCGCCGACGCGTCCGCTCCGACTGTCGGCCGACCAAAGCCGGCACTGACCGGCCGCCACCGGCGCTGACCGACGCGGCGGCGTCGGCGCGGCGCCGCCGCCATTCGATCTACGGGGAATCGGTAGTTATGTGCAGCTAGTGGCACGGGTCGCACATGGAAAGTCCCGAGGCGCGTGAGTCAGCCCCGGGCGAGGGTCGACAGCACCCGGGAGGGCGATGGGAAGTCCCGGCGAGCCTCGCTTCGCCAGGGGACCCCGACTTC